CTGCCACTGGTCTATGCTGACGTTTGATTCAAGCACATGATTTCAAGGGCATTTATTTAATTACTACATCATGTGATATGACAGTACCTAATTATGTAACCACAATTGTCTAACATTCAGTTACTTTCATACTTTAATTATGCATTAATGTTGTTGACAGTCTAGTTCTCTTGGGAAGCAGTGTTCCAGGAGAACTGAAAGTTCCCTCAAAATAGGTTAGTTGGTAGTAGAGTTCATGTCATCAGTGAGAGATGTTTGAGGTAATTTGCCATTTCTTTCCTGTAAATGTTAGTTGGTTTTGTGCCTTTTAGTTGACAATTAGCTTCTTCGTTATGATTTTACCTTGTGTAGCCCAAGGTCCAGAGTGCTTCAGCAGCAGCCCTGGGAACTACAAGTTGTAGCCTACAAATTGTGGCATGTTGAGAGAACATCCTGGTTCCTGCCAGGATGTACCCATGTAGGCTGCATGCCAAGGAGGGGCTGCTGAACTGTGATTCTGTTTTGTGTTTTTACAGCATAAAGCCTGTTCCTGGTGGTTTATCTGAGTGGGTCTGGTCAGAGGTGCACACACACTAATTCACAATGCAGAGCACAACAAGGAGCCTCAGGCCTAATCTCCCACAGTTGTGTAAGAAATCATAAGACTTCCCCCATGCTGAATAACCTCACACTGGGCTAGTGAACAGGAGGGGTCACACTTGCTAAGGGTATATCTACACTACCCTCCTACTTCGAACTAGGAGGGTAATGTAGGCATACCGCACTTGCAAATGAAGCCCGGGATTTGAATTTCCCGGGCTTCATTTGCATAAGCGGGGCTCCGCCGTTTTTAAAACCCCGCTCGTTCGAACCCTGTGCCCTGAAGCTACACGGGGCATGAACTAGGTAGTTCAAACTAGGCTTCCTAGTTCGAACTACCGTTACTCCTGCACAGGGTTCGAACGAGCAGGGTTTTAAAAATGGCGGAGCCCCGCTTATGCAAATGAAGCCTGGGAAATTCAAATACCGGGCTTCATTTGCAAGTGCGGTATGCCTACATTACCCCGCTAGTTCGAACTAGCGGGGTAGTGTAGACATACCCTAAGAGAATAACTTCTGGAAGGGATTCAAATACAAGGTTTAAGCTTTTCCTTCCATTTAAGTTCATCCAATCTATTTTAATTGATGGGAAATAGCCAGATATCACTTTTTAAATACAATCGGTACTATTCCAGTGAACAGTGACAAGTGATGAGGAAAGACCTGACACTCAGCTTGTCTGGGAGAATGCCGAATATATTTTCTACAGGCTTCCTGGGGAATAAGATGCAAAAATTGAAGTTGAGCACACAGTGACACAGGTATAAGAGCCAGAATACATTTCAAATAGACCACAATAACAAATAATTCATTAAACACAAGTAAGTGCAAGGTCCCCTGGGCATCACCAGGAACTACATACAAGAGCGCTCCCCAGGGTGAAAATATGAGCCATGCTGGGATACTTTTCTTGCTCCTCCCAGGAAATAAGCTTTACCTTCACAAGGGGGAAGCTCAAACCCATAGCTTCAGTGAGCAGGAACATGAGGCGTGATTACATGAAAGCAAGTTTCTTTCTGACCATGCCTTGCAGAGTGGGTGCATTCTGTGAAAACACACAGGCAGGCAGGCAACACACAGTGAGTCTAAGGTTATGTCTAGACTGCAGATCTTTTCCAGGAGACCAAAGGTGTCCTGGAAAGCTCTGTGACATTCAAGGAACGTGTCAATTTTTTCAGAACAGGTTCCGAAAAAGCGGATGTGTTCTTTTGGCATCCCTGTATTCCTCATTGTATGAGAAATAAGAGATGTTCCAAAAAAGGAGGTTTTTTTCTGAAATGTGGCCCCATGTAGATGGGCCAAATTTTGGAAAAGCTTCTTTCGGAAAAAAAGTGGAAAAAGATATGCAAATTGTGATTCACAATTTACATATCTTTTTCCAACTTTTTTCAGCAGTAGAGACATAACCTCAGAGTTTCAGGGGAAGCTGCAACAGCCATTTTGCCAGGCTCTGGATGTCTTTCTCTGGGCTAGAGACAGAATAGGCAGCATAACAAAGACACTATCCAGGGAGTTTTAGATCATACAGATTGACAATTAGGGCCAGGTACTCAGCTGCATTCTCTGATGCTGGGCCCATTCCATGAGAAGAAGCAGGTGGTCCTAAGCCACCTCTTTACTTCCCTAAGCCTATGCCACCCAGGGCCAGAACAGACTGTAGGATAATATAGTAGCCTATAAGTAAGGTCTGCATGAACTTTCCCCTGACATCTAGTGACGAACTAGGGGAAGACTTCAGGACTAGACTGTATTTGCATAGATAAACCTACTGGGCCTAAGTGTTCAGCAGTCAGAACTGCTTTGTCAAAGGGCTCAGTTTTGGCGGGTTTGGGATTACAATTTGCTTTAGTGCTTGAATGCAGGAGTACTGAAACGTTATCCTAAGTGCATGAGCAAAGGGCAGCAGAACTGTGCTTAGCCTGTCCTGACTGTCCTAAGACGAATCTCACCTGCTAAGCAAAGAGTAGTGATGCCAAATTCACTGAAACGGATAGATGTTCTTACCTCTGCTTAAAGCATCCCATTTACCAGTATCTTCTCTGGTGTCTAAAAACAGGATTGATTGGACTCAATGGAGAGTCCTTGTTTCTATTCCATGATTAATAAAGCTAAAAATCACTGGTAAACAGGTCTAGGCACTAAACCTTAGACATTGTGGCTTATCTGAGTAATCACAGTCTGAATAACCAGTAGCTGAAGCTTACCTACAACTTGTAGGTTCTTCCAAACTGTCCTGTAACTACTCCAAAAGTAACTATTTGCAGAAATCAGAATAGACTCAAGAGTGATTTGCAAACAGAAATAAATAATTTGCAATAAATAATTCAACTGGTTCTAGTTTCTAACTAAACAATGGAAGATGCTACTAAGCAACTATAGTGGGAGGAAAAGAACTGGTAAAAGCTCTATTTTTCAGGAATAAATGGGATTAAGATGAAGTAAGGAAAGAGATATGAGTAGCTGAAAGATACTGTTACTCGCTGAAAGCTGTTTCATTAACCGGTAACAATGATTTGCAATTCTATGGCACATTTCACAAAGTGACCATTCCAAAGAATGTTAATGAGTTGCTTCTCTACACTAACCAAAATATGAAAAATGATGAAGGGCTCAGTAGCATGGTATCAATCAGAAAGGAAAGGAATTCAGCTGGCTGAAACAAGCTTTATTTCTGATTGAGAGAAACAACTGAGTTGGAACCTGTATTGACATTTTTATGGTGTTTAGCTAGACTGTATAACAGAAACGACATGATTGCGTAAGCCGTGGGCCATCTGCCAGCTTTCCTTGCTTTTCCTCTGGCCCATAAAAAGCAGCCACCTTAACAAAGTTCAAAATATGGAGTAGAATTAGGAAGGTTTTTACAGCTAAGGACACAAACATATCACCACAATAGAGTACACTTTGGGGACTTTCTTTTTTCCCCTTAAGAAAAAGCTTCAAGAAACCCTGGTTAGCATCCTGAGTCCTTGCTATGCCACAGACTTATACCCAAGTATCCCGATTCATCTGAGATCTTAAGTGATTCACATGGTCTTTCTCTACCATAGCTCCCCATCTGTAAGGTGAGGGATAAATGGGGCATTGTGGGGTTACATTGTGAGATGCTCAAATTCACAGGAATGGGGGGCCATCTATGTATAAGAGATAGCTCTATAAATTTTTTTAAAAAATTGTGCTGCCCACTGTGACCACTTAGAACTTTCTGGAAACAGAAGAGATATCTTGCAGATCCTTCTGTTCCAAACACATAGGATCTATCAGTGATGCCTATAAGAGCCAGCTGTATAAACCTCAGTGATGCACAGTTCTTACTCTGTCCATTAGAAAGATTATGATATGTTCAAACTAAACTACTGGGCATAATATCGTCTGTACTGTGGATTCTCAGGGTAAGAATCATATACAGAATTGTAATCCTACCTGTCTCAAGAGTAACCTCATTTTGCAAGGTACCACTCATTTTAGCCCCAAGCTTTCCTACATTCCATCCAAATTAGGGGTTTCCTTCATTTTTATTGATGCAAAGTATTTACATCAGGAATAAAGATTTGTGAAATTCAGGTTATAGAAAGAATTAGTTATGCTAAAAGAATCATTTTCACAGGATTTTAAGTTAAATAATTTTGTGCATCATCTTGTTGAGTCTATGTAACACTTTAATTTCCACATTTGGGTCTCTGCAGGCTGAGAGGTTATAAAATGATTGACAAGTTAGTACATAATTTGGCACACCAGCTTGTGTAATGTATATCAGTGGTTCTCAAACAGGAGTACACATACTCCTGGGGGTATATAGAGGTCTTCCAAGAGATACATTAGTTCATCTAGATATATCTAATTTTACAACAGGCTGTATAAAAAGCACTGGCAATATTAATACAAACCAAAATTTCACACAGACAATGATTTCTTTTCTACTGTTCTATATACTATACACTGAAATGTAAGTAGTGTTCAATATGTATATTTCAATTGACCTATTTTATAATTATATGGTAAAAATCAGAAAATAAGCAATATCTCACTGATAGCGTGCTGTGACACTTTTGTCTTTTTATGTCCAATTTTGTAAGCAAGTAGTTTTAAAGTGCAGGGCCGGCCACAACATTTTGGCACCTGAGGCGGGGAGCTCAAATGATGCCCCCATGTCTCCTTTTCTCCTGCCTGCCTGTTATGTCTCTTGTGTCTTCCTTCTTCCAGCACAGCACTCCACCATTTTTGTGCATTTAGAGCAGAGAGAATACATATGCACCAGCAGCAGACACAATTTTCTAAACTCTGGATCCTAGGGGTGCCTCCCCAGAGTCTGGCATCTGAGGCGGCTGCCTCAGTTCGCCTCATGGTAAGGCCAGCCCTGTTTAAGTGAGATGAAACTTGGGGGTATGCAAGACCAATTGGATTCCAAAAAAGGATATAGTAGTTTGAAAGATTGAGAACCACAGATGTATATTAATATCCGGGGTGGGGGCTGACAGCTTCTTCGGGGCTCTGGAACAAGATGGGAGTGGGGCTGGTTCCATGCCCCCAGAAGGAGTGGGGCCTCAGGTGGAAAAGGTGGGGCAGCCAGCCCTCAGCGCTGCCCAGACCATGGTGCTGGACACACACCTCTAGCCTCCAGAGCCGCATGGAGGGCGCTTCAGCAAAAGTTTAAAGGGGCCCTGTACTCTGGCCATCCCGAGCCCCTTTGAATCACCAAGCCCCAGAGCAACATCCCCCTTTGCCTCCCCTACCCATTGGTGGACCTGTCAATTGGAGTATTGTGTCCAGCCTGGGCACCGCATTTCAAGAAAGATGTGGAGAAATTGGAGAGGGTCCAGAGAAGAGCAACAAGAATGATTAAAGGTCTAAAGAACATGACCTATGAAGGAAGGCTGAAAGAATTGGATTTGTTTAGTTTAGAAAAGAGAAGACTGAGGAGGGACATGATAGCCGTTTTCAGGTATCTAAATGGGTGTCATAAGGAGGAGGGAGAAAACTTGTTCATCTTGGCCTCTGAGGATAGAACAAGAAGCAATGGGCTTCAACTGCAGCAAGGGAGGTTCAGGTTGGACATTAGGAAAAAGTTCCTAACTGTCAGGGTAGTCAAACACTGGAATAAATTGCCGAGGGAGGTTGTGGAATCCCCATCTCTGGAGATATTTAAGAGTAGGTTAGATAATTGACTATCAGAAATGGTCTAGACAATATGTGGTCTTGCCATGAGGGCAGGGGACTGGACTCGATGACCTCTCAAGGTCCCTTCCAGTCCTAGTATTCTATGAATACCATGTCTAGTTGTGCACTTTTGTATGCACTTTCAATGAAAGTGAAGTGTTGACGTTTTTCTTTTCTTTAGTATAAGAGCCAGCTTACAAGGATTTACAGGACCTGAAGATGAATAAAATTTGGGTTAAAATAAGCTTATTTCCTTATGCCTGGACCTTACTGTGATTCCATATTAAGGGTAGGTTAGCTGATTTTTCAGGAAGAGAACTAGGATGAAAGGCTGTATTGCAAAAATCATGTGACTTTCCCCACGTGACTTTTCACAGCAAACACAATTGGAATTCTAAATGCACTGGCAAACAGAAGCCTCAAAATATTGATGGTAATTAGAGAAAGAATGCATTTATACATATAAGGCATTGCCAAACAGTTTGCTAAATGAACCAAATTCATGTGACCACTGCCCCTTTGAGACTACAGATTGAAGTCAAACCAACATCAAATGTTCAGGTGTAAAGAATGGAAAAAATAACAATACTAAAAATAGTATATAGTGATTATATAAATAGAGAGTACATCTGGAATACAGCTTTGATCAGCCCATATGAAAAGAAATATGGAAGAAAAAGAAGGGGTATATAGATGGTTTATTAAAATTAGTAAGTAAAACAGTATTAATTTTTCCCCAAAAATAATGATTAAAAAAACTAGTAAATCACTAAGTGAGTATACATAATATATGCAGAGTGGTAAAACTTAATTTCAACCAGCTTATAAAATAAAAAAAGAAATATGACACCACTCTTACCATTTCCAATACTACTCTGCTGTACTTTTTCACATAGTAACATTAGAAAAACATTTTCACATATTCACAGCAAACATTAATGAGAGGAATTTTCTACAGTGGTGCCATTATAGCCTGGAGAGTGAGCTGCCAATGTTTGGAAGTAGTGTTTGCTGTGGTAGTGCCAGGGCACGACAGGAATTATTTGCATCTCATTGTTTCAGAACATAGTGAGTGATGCACAGTAATAAGACATGACACTGAATAAATGGATGGAATGAGATACAATAGAAAGTGCAGCACCATTTCCTGCAGTGGAGACCTTTGAGTTGTTAATTTAAACCCTTGATTTGGTCTTAATTCAATGTGATGACAATAGGGCAAAAGCCTTAATCCATTGTCAGTCACTGAGCTACATTCTGGGACAGGCAAACCTCACAACATAAAGCACAACCACTTTAAAAGTCTTCTATTATGACATGCTGTCAGTTCTTACACTAACTTCCTTTTATTATTATTTGTATTACAGGAGTCCTAACCAAGCCAGTAGTCCTGTGGTAGACACAGTAAAAATACAATGGAAAAGAGAGTCCCTGCTCTGAAAAGCAGTCTAAATACTCAAGGGCAAGGAAAAAGGAAGTGCAATCGTCATGATTTTGCCTTTTACATACTTCACGACTACTATGTGCCTCCTAAGAGAGCTCAATTGTAAACCTGCAGCTTCACATCTTTGAGGTAGAGTTTTAGGAGAGAGGTGATTAAGTTCAGGGAAGTCTGAAGGGCCTTCCTTGTCCCTAGAGAGGCTGGGCAATTAGGCAGTGGGTTCCAGTCCTCAGGTGGGGGTGCTAAACTGCAGGTCTGCATGCCAAAATGAGGCTACGGATCCCAAGATTTGCCTAGACTTCACTCAGACACAAGAGAGTTCAGACACATGGGGATCCAGGCACAGAAGCATTTGTACTCCCCTCCTCATAGCTATGTTTGGCGGAGGGGAAGGAAAGGGTGTCTGACGTTTTTACTCTTCAGTTATTGCATCATCTCAATAGCTAACATTCCAGCAGTGCCCCATCAATTAATATTTTGATCAACAAGATTTGGCAATTTAGCGAGTGTGGTGTCATGTTGCTAACCATGTCTTGTCGGTCAATCTGAGGAGGATGGTGGAGGATTTGTGCTGCAATTAATGTTGCAGACTCATAATTAAAACTGAACACTATCCAACCAAGATTTGGATCAAAATGCAGGAACTAACTTAACCTCTTTGGATACACTGGTTGGTTTGGCCCATTATGATATTAATGTCTAGCCACAATGTTCAGACCTGGATCCCAATTCTTCATAAGTTTCAAGTTGTTTGGGTTGGAGGCTTTGCCTTAGCCCTCATTTATCTCAGTTTTCATCTTTTGTTGTGCTAGATGCAATTCAGTTCACTCTGATGAACTTGAACCTGCTTTAAACTCTGCCTGAATGTGATCCTTTCTGCTTACATCTTGTAAATATTTGCACACTAATGCCATAGCCCCCAACCCTTCACTGTCACATCACAATGTTAGTATATTGTCTTTTAAACTTTTCTTGTTAGTCAAACCCTAAGGTGCCCAAACCATTTTTGTTGCTTTTTTTCTGAATTCCCTCAAAGATGCCCATATATTTCTGTTAAAGCAATACCTCTTTTCTGATCATTTCTCCTTAGGTCTATTAGCCTAGATTATTTTCAAGTTGTATCTCATTTTTTCTGCCAATATTTCTAAACTATCTCTAGAACCTATTGTATTACTCAGCTGTTCCCTATGTTCAGTAATTACCTGCAACTTTCACTAACATGTTGTTTCCTCTCTCTTCTAGATCACTAATGGAGATGTTCAATAAAACTGAACCTAATATAGACCCCTTCAAACCCACTGGAAGCTTCTCCACAATTGAATCCATTGCATTTTATGAAAGTTTATTTGTTTATGGTGCTTCAGCTAGTTTTCAATCCTTTTCATATCCATGATGATTTGAATCAATTTTGAGAACAAACATTAGCAAACAGTGTATCAAATGGTACAGTAAAATCCAAATATACAGCCTTGTTTTCCCTTCATCTGATTTTGATTTTTTTAAAGACAAAACAATCAAGTTTGTCTGGCATAATAAGTTTGTAAATCCCTAGTAATTGTTTCGATATGTTGAATTTGGGTCCAAAGTGGGAGATGAATTAATTAACATAGCACAAGACTACACTAATTTAGAAAAATCATCAGGATAAACTCCTTGACAGTTCTGTCTTTTTCCATCTGGGTTGTTACACTGAGCCTATCATCTGAGCACCACAAACGTGAGATCTGGTAGCTGTGATTAAATCATGAGATAAAAAGATCTCTAACCTCATTGATTCTGACGCAAGGAGGTAATTTTTCATGTAAGAAGCAGAGTATGTGCAACAAGGCGTATTCTGTTATTGCAAAGATGGGTTAAGAGAAAACTCAACTGCATAAAGCAGAAAATACACAAGATGATTAAGCAATAAGACAGAAGAAACAAAGAAAAAGCTAGAGACAGACAAACAGTGCATCAAATATAGCTGCTGCTATAGCATTCTGGAATGTGAGCAGACAGACACTGCATAATTAGGAAAGTTCAAGATCACTTGAAAGAATTTGAATACACTACATTATATAAATGCTACATATGTCTTTGTTTTCAAAGAGTGAATGTTGTGTCAGTTTTAGGATGTCTTCGGGTGTGTCAGACCCATGTACAGTTCCATGATTCACAGAAAAAGTTACAGGATTTTTTGCACAACTGCACAGTTAAAATTGCAACAGAGGTCTCTTAGAGGTGTCCAGAATCAGAATCTTTTCACTGACCCTCTTAATTGCAAGAGGATCTGGGGGTGCTGATTAAATGAAACCCATTCAATGGACAAACCAGTATGCCATCTTTCACCTGCTGCCTGTGTTACTCAAGAAGCTTAATACACTTCAATTTCCTTAGTGTGCCAATCTGTGGTTCATGTCTATGAGACTACTTGCATCATACTATGAAACAGTAAAATAACTAAACATTGACATCTGCGAAGCACCAGAAGAATAGAAGTGAAACAACCTCACCTTGCTTCACCTGCAATTTGCTGAGATCGAGTATTGTAATATAGTAGTTACAGATTGCTAAATACTGCTCTGGTGCGTAGTTCACTCCATATCCTGACTAACATGATGCCATTTTAATAAGGAAAATCCCGATTTGCAATACTTCACACATGCAGTAAACAGGCACACCTTCAATGTAATGATTCAGGGACAATTAGAGTCCAACAGAGAAACTCCAATTTGTTAGTTTTGCATAAGCAGCAATACAGGCTCAGTTTAAACACAGTCTGAGCACTTGTACATTGCATAAAAAGTGGGTGTATGACTGAACTCCCAGTTTGGTTTGGATGAGTACCCAGAAGTTCAGCTGGATCTCTGGACAAGAGCATATAAAACTGAAACAGGTTTGCCAGTTAGATTTTCAATATTTTCAGCTTTCAGGTGAGCCAGAAATAATAACATTTCCTCCAACCCCATCATTATTTCTACACTTCCACTTCTGCTTGCACACAGAAACATAAAAATGAAAACCACGGTG